GAGAGAATTTGCGAGCAGTTAGGTTGCCCTCGCTATGGATCACATGATAATTTAGAAATACGTCATTGCTTTTCAGAAAATAGTCGAAGGGTGCTTCGGTGCGCCCTCTTTTTTGAGGGCGATCAAGGAGTAAAATAGCTTGTTTAGCCGTGGGAGTAGTGCGTGTCTTTGGCGACAGCACCAACTGCCCACCACGGAGTCCAACAAAGGGACACTGCAAGACTTGAACCAAGTCTGCACAACGCCAGCTATACGCTATCAATATAACCGGATATAGCATACCCAAGGTTGGATACCTACACTAGTTTAACCCTTGCCACCAGGAAACAATGAAGTAAATGGAAAAGAGAAGAAAACAGGATAGATTTAAAGAGGAGAAAGGAGGATGTGGGGAGAGAGAGATAGGAAAAGGCGACTGCTGATTTCCCCTGGGTGGATCAGCCAAGAGGTGCCGTCTACATGAAGCCGGGGCCAAAGGGGTCTGTTGCCTCGGCCAGGGGGCCTTAAAGGTCCAATCACCCGGCGTCGACTCAACCCCCAGAATCCCTTTTTCCCCGGACACGGCAAAGCCACGCACGGCAAGGCGTGGGAGGGAGCCGAAACTCCCCCGTTAGCTCGGGTCCGTGGCGACGCTACGCACCAAATGCCTGCTCTTACAGACACCCCTGCAGGGTGAGAAGGCGTTTGATTCAGTAGAAATGTCAGCTGTCATGCAGACATTGCGAAATCAGGGTGTTTATGAAGCATATATTAACATCATAGAAAAAATCTACAGGGGACCAACTGCCACCATAATGCTTCATAAAAGAAGCGACAGAATACTAATCAAGAAGGGTGTAAAAACAAGGGAATACAATCTCCGCAATGCTATTTATCACGTGCTTACAGGAAGTTTTCAGAGACTTAGAATGGGAAGAGTTAGAGATAAAAGTGAATGGAGGGTACCTTAGTAACCTGCACTTTGCCGATGACATTGCATTGCCGAGTAACTTTTCATGATTACGGAGGTAGACAAGGAGAGCAGAAAGATAGGTCTTAAAATTAATGTGCAGAAAACGAAAGTAATGTGCAACAACCTCAGAAGAGAACAGCGCCTTCAGATAAGTAATAGTGCACTTGAAGTTGTAAAGGGCTACATCCATTTAGGACAAGTAATAACCGTGAAGCGAAACCACGAGATTGAAGTAACTAGAGGAATAAGAATGGGGGAGAACACATTCGGTAAGCACTCTCAAATCATGACTATAGATTGCCAATATCTCTCAAGAAGTATAGAGCAGCTGCATCTTGCCGGTACTTAGCTACACAACAGAAACCTGGAGACTTACAAAGAGTGTTCAGTTCAAATAAAGGAAGACGCAGCGAGCGATGGAAAGGAAAATAATAGGTGTAACCTTAAGAGACAAGAAGAGAGCAGAGTGGATCAGGGAACAAACTGGGGTTAAACATATCATAGTTGCAATAAAGAAGAAATGGACATGGGCCGGGCACGTAGCATGTAGGCAGGATAACCGCTGGTCAATAAGGGTAACTGACTGGATTGCAAGAGAAGACACGCAGGTTAGGGGCAGACAGAGAGTTAGGTGGGCAGATGAGATTAAGAAGTGGCAGCAGCAAGCACAGGACTGGCGGAACGTGGGAGAGACCTTTGTCCTGCAGTGGTCATAGTCAGGCTGATGATGATGATTATGATGAAGTGAGGATGAGAATACTGAAAAAGTCATAAATAGCAGTTTCAGTTGCTTGAGCGTGTGTCCGATGCTGCTGCCAAAGTTCCAGGATAATCACTCTGCATAGCCTCAGGAAAATGGCAGTCCAGGGGCGTAGATGACCGCCACGCCTACAGTGGCGGTCGTCTTCAGCACATTGGCATGTGCTGAAGTGTCAACAATGAGAATATTGAAAAAAATCATAGATAGCAGTTTCCGTTGCTTGTTACTGCTGATTCCAAAGTTCCGGGCAAAGAGCTCTGCATAGCCACAGGAAAATAGCAGTCCAGGTGTTGCTCACAGTGCCTAGATGACTGCCTTAGTCACAATGCGTGACTTTACACTTTTGCACACCCATAGTGTCAATGAGGATACTGAAAAAAATTGTAGATAGCAGTTTCAGTTGCTTGTGCACAAGCCCACTGCTGCTGCCAAAGGTCTAACAAAGCTCTCTGCACAGCCACAGGAAAATAGCAGTCCAGGTTCAGAGTGCCTAGGTGACTTCCTCGCCCACAGTGGGGGACTCTACACATTGGCATGCCTAGAAGTGTCAACGAGGGTACTGAAAAAAACCGCAGATAGTGATTTGAGTTGTGCGCGTGTCCGCTGCTCCTGCCAAATTGTCGGGCAAAGCGCTCACCATAGCTGCAGGAGAATTGCAGTCAAGGTGTCATTCACAGCGCCTAGTTGACCGCAAAGCCCACAAAGGGAAACTGTAACATTGGCATGTGCCGAAGTGTCAATGAGGATACTGATAAAATAATAGCTAGCGGTTTCAGTTGCTTTTGCGCTGTGGGGGTGCTAACACCCCCTGTAAAGCCGTTTGCACATCGTGGCCCACATGTTTCCGACATTGGCCACATTAAGGGGTCACAGCTATTGAACAGGAGGTGGCTGTCAGCTCGCCAGCATTTATCACCACCACCATCATCATGGTGAGCGCAGTCGCGCCGACAGTGATGCCTGGCAGCAAGCCTGGGTGGCGGCGCATGAGAATGAGCAGCCTTCTTTTGCGAGTGGCGGTTAGAGTGAGCGGTCGTCTCTAGCGTCGGGTCCACGGTAGACGGCACCGCGGGTCGTCTGCCATGGGCCCTCGTGTGGAGTCGAGCGTTGGCGACGCCCCCTTGTGTGCTCTTGTGTTTATTTTGCTGAGTGGTGTGTAATATTGCGTAAGGTTGTTTTAGCGTGTGGATCACACTTGATGTATATTATTTCGGCTGGCGATACCATCATTCTAAAAGCAGTTGTTTGGTTTGGTCCGATTGCGTCAGCTGTGTCTGTTCACTCAAAGAGCGTGGTGCTCTTCACATTGAGACCCCACAATAGCTACCCAACGTGCAACTCTTGGAGCATGAGACGAGTGTTCCTGCAGTTCGGAACTTTTTTTTTTTTTAGCTATGGTAGCGTAAGCCTAGGGGGACTTCCATTCTTTGTGTCAGCAGTGTGCTTTGTAGAGAGGAATAATATCCGTTGCGTGACGGTCTGAACTTGTCAGCACATTGAGTTTTTTTCTGCTCCTAAGTAGCTTTTGTTTTGTTTTTAAGAACGTTGATCTGTTAATAAAAGAACCATGTGATTCGCATCCTGGAGTGAGCAAAGCTTAGAGCACGTGGACTGTTGGCCAAGCCTGAAGCGAGTGAGTATAGAAGCCTCGTAGGTCGTCCTAGTTTCTGTAAACATCTTCTTCTATTTTTTAGGACTCGGGGAGTCAGGTGTCGTTGCTGTCTTGCCTTGCGGCTCGACGCCTGGGAGTCGTGACACCGTCCGGGTCGGTGAAAGCAGATCGCTCGGTAGGCTGCTGTGTCCGGCGGGTGAGTAGGCCACCTCACTGAGTGGATGTCTCTTTGCCTTTTCTGTGCCTAGGCAGGGGGCTGGATGGAGGCCAGTTGTTGTCAAGCGACTCATTAGGCCTAAGGCTCTGCGCAGCCGTCTGTTGCACATGGCACAACTAGAAGGATCGCGGCGTTAAGGCGTCGCACTCTGCTTCCCTCAACTTTTTTTTTATCTTGCGATGCACTAGTTAGTAAAAGCGATTTCTGTTTTATTTGATCTGAGAGTTTCGGCCGCCGTTGATGTATTTGCCCAGCAGTACTGACCGTCGTACCACGTGGGCGAGGAGCCCGAAGCTCCCTTCCCTTTGCTTTACTGCCTTGTTCTGTCGAGTGTTATGAATGTATGCAGCGGGAGTGATGTGACCAGCGACTGGCTGTCTTCTGCACATGTGTCTGCGCTACTGGCAAGGAATGCCGTTGAGACATCAGGATTTGAACATGCCTGGGACCTGCGCAACTGCCTGCAGCCCGATGCTTTCGTGAGTGCTGGTCGCAGCCAGAAGACGTGTCGGCACGAGTGACAGTTTCTCGTGATGAGGACAACGGAGAGTGCAGCAGTGCCGACCGGCGAGGTCGTCATGCACAGACATTCTTCAGAAACATGTGTTGTCATCTTTTGTTAGACCTTGTGCAACTGATTTTTTCGTGTTTTTTTTTTTTTAGATATGGTTTGAATAGAAGTTGGAGGGATGTGAGAGCGCTAACTAACACCTCTTGTAAAGTCGTTCGTGCCTTGTGGCACCCGTGTTTCGCACATAGGCCACGTACAGGGGACACAACTATCAAGCGGTAGGTGGCATTGCGCTCGTGAGCGTTTGTCACTACCATCATCATTATGGTGGGCGCGGTCGCACCGGCAGTGACGCCTGGCAGCAAGCCTGGGTGGCGGTGCATGAGAGATGAGCTCTTTTGCGTGTGGCGGTTGGAGCGAGCGGGCATCTCTTGCGGTGGGCCATGATAGACAGCATCGCGAGTCCTCTGCCGTGGGCCTTTGTGGTGTGTTGAGCTTTAGCGTCGCCGTCTCGTGTGTGTGTTCTTGAGTTTTCCTTATGTTGTTAAGCGTTTTGTAATGTTGTGTAAGGTTGTTTTAGCGCGTGGATCACAATTGATGTATATATCAATTTGGCTGGCGATATCGGCATTCTAAATGTTTAAATAAATGTGCGTTGTTCGGTTTGGTCCGACCGTGTCAGCTGTATCCGTTCACTCAAAGAGCATCGCACTTTTTTCATCCAGACACCTGCGTGTCCCTGCTGCCAAAGATATGTCTGCAGATAGAAACGCTCAAAGCACCTGCAATTAGCTAAAAAATCTTTGCATTTTATATTTTAGAGATAGAACGGTATTAAGATGAAGCTTAGCACGATACAATGTACAGCCAAAAGTAGCAACGGTGAGGAGTCTTTTAAACTAAAATGCTGCAACAGAACTGAAACTAACTCTTAAAAAAGCACTGACATGAGATAACAAATAACACAATTTATTTTATGTGTTACGAAATTAAAACACAGTCACTGAACAAATGTCTTTTGCAGGACTCCGTCGACTAGCACGAATGCAGCAGGAGGCACTCGGGGCTGTGGCTTTTCTGCAATTGTTCCAGGGTGTCGTGGAAGGCACGCACTATCAGCTGGTACATATCCCAGTTGTACACTGCCCGAGCCGTATTGGACTGGTCAAAGGGCTCTGGAAATAAAACAGTGCATTTCATGGCAATCTCCCTATTTATCAAAAAAAAAAAAAAATCATGACATGCCTCTCATACTTCACTACCCATCAGACCAATCTATGAATGCAGACAAATCTCGTCACAGCAAACATCAGATTACCGATATTCTTACATTAAAAACTTTTTTGAAACTCACTACTACAAATTTCAAAATACTGATTATTTCAGAGCAACACATCGAATTTCATCTCCCCCGTATATTTCCACAACACTTCAAAGTAATAAAGAGCAATTTTAAAAAGTTACTTGTGGCTGTGAAAATAATTACCAGCTTTGTACCTGTCACTGTCATTATCATCATCATCAGAACACCTGCATATTTCTCTATGTGCCCCAATAGCCCTAGCATCATCGCCTGGTTCTTGATTCTTGCATCAGGCTTCACCCCATTGCCTTTTTTTTCGTCAGACAGCTTTACCTGCGCGCTTGTTACACGGCTGTTTTCTAGCATTCTGGTTGGTGATTGAACGTTCAAGATGCCCTCTGAAAGCAGCAAGAAAGAAATGTTACGACAGTGAAAAATGCAACACAAGTGATCTATGGGATGAAGTGGCCGATGATTACCCGTGCATGCTTCACTAACGCTTAAAGACTACGCCCAGTATGATGATGCAGCATGTGCATGAGCTTAGCTGACGACCGATAAAAACAAAACAAAACAAGATCCATAGCATTTGTCGTTATTAGTAAATGCCGACCAGAGTGAACATGATGTTGAAACAGCACACGTGAACCGACGTGAAAAAATGGTATTTAATGGTCATGCTTCGCAGTGCGTAAGGAAGATGCATTTGCTTAAGAGTTTGTCTTTCAAATTCCCACATCAGAATAGATCATGCCATATGATGGTTTTGGGATGTTAAACCCCACATATCAATCAATCAGGATAGATCACACTATTTCTCAAATAAATGTAAACTGATTCTGTAATATTTCGGGTTTTCTTTTTCCACACTAATGAGCATGACGCAGTCCTGAATGTATACAAGCACAGTTAGGCCACTCACGTGGTTGAATTCAAGATTTTTGTGCAAATTCTGAATACTTTCACTACAATAACTTACAAAATGACGAATGATTTTAGGTCGTCCCATAAGATTCGTTGTATTAAGATTTCACTGTACTAGAAATGTCTAAGAAGACTTCAAACAACATTTAAAGATAGGGTTTACAACAAGAACTTGAGAACCAACTTCTAGGACCAGCAAATGTCTAGGAATGTTAAAATTTTTCTAATTGTTAGTAACTGAACTAAGATTCACTAGTTACCTTCATAAGTAATTACTAGGGATAAAAGAATATTCGAGTTTCAGAATAAAAGTGGGCCAACATGTATTTTTAAAAAATTATGTCATTTCCATACGTCATGGCTCTAGCAGATAAGACCAGAGTTCATCAGTCTGGGAGACTGATAAACTGCTAGTGTTAAAAAATAACCAGCACTCAGCTAAGATCCAATACCAAGAGATGCAAGAATACTCGAATGAGCTTTTGAACCAGAAAAAGAATGATTCTTTGCATTGGTTATCTCCATTCCTGCTACTGAGGCACATCTGGCGAGTGCATGCTCTTGACTAAAGGAAACACTGCAACACCACGGCGAGAAAGCTAGAAGTAAAGTCATGTCGAACAGCTTGTCTTTCAACACGACAATCAGCAGTCTTTCGGTGGCAGTCACTCACTGTGCTCGAGGAAATGAGCATACTACATTTTTGTTCGTTCTCTTAATTATCCACATAATCTTTGGTATTGGATACTTTCCTTGTCTGGCCACTATTTGATTCTAGTTCTATTCAGGATTAAATATCACTATTCCCACTCTGCCATGTTAGAACATAATGAGATTACTGAACTGTCACTCAGTGCAAAAGCACATCGAAATAGAATGGAATCTGAAGGCATGTTGGGTTATCGTGTATGTGTTATCAAAGCTGTAATAAAAATGTCTTGTTTTTCCAGTTAGCTGTGTACCAAAATGCTGTTTTGTACATAAAAGTGAAACACCAACTCGAATGTCCAAGCATTTTGTAGAATACTTTAGAAATGAATATTTCTAGGCTAATATTATTAATAATAATTATTGAGGTTTAACGACCCAAAATCACCATATGATTATGAAAGATGTCGTAGTGGATAAAACGATATTGCTATAGCACAGCTCAGTTTGAGTGAGAAGAAAAGATGCTATACTGTCAAGAAGGAGAAAAAAATTGACGAGAGTGTGAGCACTGTCATATGTTTGTTTTTTTCCCCTTTCTTGACCATAGAGCACCTTTTCTTCACGCTCAAACTGAGCTGTGCTAAACCAATACCATTTTACCATGCACCAACTCGCCCAGTCAGCAGTACTCGCCATAGTGGAGGGCTCTGGAAATTTCGGGCACCTGGGGTTCTCTAAAGTGCACCTAAATCTAAGCACACTGGTCTCAAGCATTTTTGCCTGCATCAAAATTGCAGCCCCTGCGGCCAAGATTTGATCCCGCGACCTGCGGGTCAGCAGCTGAGTGCCTTAGCCAACAGACCACCGTGGCAGATGCTGGCACCCTGAAGGGGGGACGTGGGTCTTAGGGCAATCGAAAATGGCCAAAAAAATGGATTTTTTGCAAAACTGATCTTTGGGGTGATTGCAACCCTGAGCACCTACTCTCAAATTACTAACGCTATATTCAGTTGAGAAACGAAATAAAATGGGCCTCCAACGCACTCTGGCACTAGTAATATGCCCCCTGATGTGACCGAAGAGCGGGGCAGAGCCGGAAACCCAGGCACTGGGAAAGCAGAACTCTTGCAAGGCTTCTTGCTCACAAAGAACCATGATTTATTTACATATTCACAGGTGTGATCAAACTAGGCACGGGGGAGCGCCTTTACACGAGACAGAAAAGGCCGTAACGAAGGCCCAGCGCACATGCGACGGTCCTTTTATATCCCCCGTCTGTGCACGCACACCTTGTCCGACGCCGACTGCGCGTCTCAGCAACACGATGCGCGTTCCATGTGGCACACATGATCATCTCTCGCCTTTCTTCTGGATGCGGACTGCGTTCGGAAGGCTCGCGAATGAGCGCCCCTTTCAGGCCGGGTCCATACACTGGCGGTTATAACACCCCAAAAGAGCAAAATTCGTTCGAAGCTCGCGTGCGCGCCATGAGCGTTGTAGCGGGTCGAGCACCGCCATCTTGAGCTAGATTTGAAGCTATTCCTTTGTGTGTAATCTGCGCCATCTCAAAATCGCGTGGTCCATGCAGAATGGCCGCTGTCACGAGTTTTCCGAAGGTCGTTCCTGGATTCCTGACTGACTCTCACTCAGCGCGCATTTCGAGTGCACCGTGTCGAGTCTCCTATTGGCTGACATGGCCGGCGCGCTTTTCAAGAGCGCCGTTACACGTTTGCCATTGACTGGCGTGGCCAAAGCGTATTCTTTTTTTTGCGCGTTCCTCATTGTGGCTGTCCAATCGTGTGCATGTTTGTGGATGCACCCTGCTTGTGCTTTGCGCCGGTAGTTTTTCCACAAGAGTGATATGCCCGGAGACTCTCGTTTGAAACCGCCCTCGCAACGAGCTTTTGGAAGCGGTGAAAAGCGGGCTTAGAACAAGATTGCGCTGGCTAGAAGTGCACCTTCGGGCTGATAATTTGGGGGAGCTGGTGCCCTTTCGGCATCTTGAAATGTTTACGATCCACTCCATAAGCAGAATGATCGCGCGAGCAACAAGCAGAGAGCGCATGTCACACTTCCCTTACAAAGCCGATTGAGAGAAGGGTCAAGGTGCTCCCGCTTGGTTTTGCTGCGACTTCGCAGACACGCTTGTCAGAAACGCGAAATCTATGCAGCTTTGAACACACCCTGTACTGTCTCGAGAGGCTACATCTGCGCGTGCCTGAGCGTAAGCGATGCTCAGCTCATCTTACACAGGGCAGCATGATGCATAACATCCAGGCGGTTAATTGATGGTGAACATGCAGGCAGAAAATAATGAGAATAGGATGTTTTATAACTTATGAGGTACCAGTGGCTTTAGTCTCACACCCCATAATTTTTTTTGCTTACGATAGTGGGGCTCAGATCTTGCTTTCCACATTGGGAATTTTAAAAAAATGATTTCTTGAATGAACTAAGACACATTCTGTTTCGTTTAGCAAAAAAAACAGATAAGGGACATCTATATAAAATTTATTCAATATTTCTTTCAGATATTTCTGCAGCGAGTCTAAAAACTTCAAATGCGATTGTCTCAGCTCTACATTTTTTTCCCAGCCTGACTAGCCTTACCAAACTTTTCGTTATATTATTGAGAGTCAATTTAAATAAATGTTACACTGTTGAACTCGTAAGGAAACAAACTGTAGAGCTATGCTATTTTTTTATCACTAAGTTGAACATACAAAACTTTGTGAACAATAATGTGGGCTAATTACACTTCAAAATTATGAAGCATCAATACAATTGAATATTTTTATGTGATGATGTATATCAGAATCAATACATATAACATAGCTCCACATGGCAGATCTTTGGCTACAGCTGCATCTCAAACTGAACCAAAAAATATTGAAGGAAAGTGCCTTAGTCACCTATAAGAAATGACGTAATTATAATACACTTATTTTCTCATAATCTGTGAACTAATTGAAGTGCAATAGAACTAAGTGCCTTTTCGAAAACAGTAGAAAAAAACACATAACAAGCCCTATTTCATCAAAATATCTCTAATAATAAAAGTTTCATTTTAAAGACCAGTGTCCGCCCTTAAACCTTCTAGGCCGCAAGATCGAGCAGAGTCGCCGCCTGGCCGCAACTGGCTAATGAGGCAATGTGTGGATTGCTTCGTGCGTCGTCTGCTAGCCACGTTGCATTTATATGTGCGCGTACATGTCAGCGCGAGTGTAACTGTTTATACATATGCCTGAAATGACGTACGAAAGCATGTGGTCTTGCTCAGCTGCTAATGCATTGTAC